GCAAGCATTTACAACAAGGCATCAATCTCATCATAGACCTATAGCATTAGTGACAAGTGGTGGAACTTGCTCCGATCTAGAAGTAAAGACTGTTCGATTTTTGGATAATTTTAGTACAGGGACTCGAGGAGCAATAAGCGTAGAAGAATTTTTGAAAAGAGGTTATGCCGTGATTCATTTGTGGAGAGAAGGTAGTGCAGCTCCATATTCACGTGTGTTATCAAAATTGCTTGGTGTAAAGCAGGCAAATCATTCACTAGGTTTTGATGCACTTGGAATGTTATTTCAAGGTCAAGGTCTTGATGATTTAGTGCAAGAAGATGAGAAATTGAATGGGGACCAGGATCCTTGGTTGACTTCTACTCAACAGAAACATAAGAAATCTGTATCGTCAGATATGTTGGATGATCATCAGAATTCCATTGATAATCGCATGTTGTTGCAAAAGAGAATTTTGAATTCTACGCTGTTGCAGACTAAACTTCGTGAAAGAGCCAATGTTGTCAAGGAAGGCCTCTTGTTGACTGTGAAATTTCGTACACTCGAGGAATATCTTGCCAAATTACAAGTGTGTGCGGAAGCTATTAACGATTGCCAATCCTTGGGATTGATTTACTTGACTGCCGCAGTTAGTGATTTTTACATACCTCATGAAGAAAAAGTAGTGCATAAAATCCAAAGTAGAGATTACAATTTGAAAGATGGTGGTGAAGCTGATGACGAAAAAGATACTAGTGGTGGAACTACACCTTCTGGAAGTGCTATACACATGGATACCAAAACTAATTGTCTAAATTTGAAACTCTCTCCTGTTCCGAAGCTGATCCCGTTGTTGAGAGATGACTACGCCCCTAACGCCTTTTGCGTAAGCTTCAAGCTTGAAACAGATAAGAACATTTTGATAGAAAAGGCCAAGATTGCAATCAACAAATACGATGTACACATGGTGATTGGTAATGAGTTGGAGACACGATATGATAAAGTTTTTGTTCTGCAAAACCGGGGCATTTACATTTCTCATGAGGAAGATAACGACATTAGTGTTGAGGAAATTTCGAAAAGCAGTGCTTCGAATTACTCTACAGATGATCTAGAAGATGCAATGATTTCCCACGTCGTTGAGAAACATTTTGAATATATTGCCAACCACTACCTTGGAGGGACTGGTGTTAATGAAACTAATGGCAACGGGGATGTCATTCCTACAACAGCTCTGATGGCAGGAGCAGAGGCAGCAGCTAGACACAACGCTTATCTGAAAGAGAAGAAGCGCCAGCTGCAAAATGAATTATATTGGCAACGCGTAAGAGATGTTACTTTGAGCATTGCAGGACATGCAATAGGAATGTACTTTACATACGTTGCAAGTTCTGCTGTCCAAAAACGTATGCGCTAAAAATAGAAATCTCATAAAATTTTATGAAAGAATATTTACATTGGAAATTAGCCCTATTATTGATCAAGTTTTGAGAGAACATCATTAACAAGTATTTGAACGACTTCCTTGTTTGCAGATGCCAATGCATTTACTACCTTTCTCTCGCAATATTGAATGCCCCTTCTATTTTCTTCTACACTTGCCAGCTGAGCCAAAAGCTTTGCAGCAAAAAGAGGAGTATGTTCTCTTCCTGCTCTAGTTGTCAACATTGGAAAGATTGCATCATATAGCTTTGTATTTGGCTGGTTTGTAGTCTTCGCTTCGTCCACTGTGAAGTCTTCTGACTGTGTGATGATGATTTTGCATGCAGCTCTTCGTTTCAAATCGTCACTCATGCTTGTAATTTTCTGCAGGATTTCAATCGATCTATCTCTGACTTCGTAATCAACAGACATGTCATATCCAGCCAAAAGTTTCATAGCACTAACTCTTGATACAGAGTTGATGATCGGATCCATATATTCCAGACTATCCACTCCAAGACGTGGAATCCACAAAAGATAGATCAATTGGCCAAGAAATGCATCTGGTGTGTGAAGAAATACATCACGAACATCTGGATTATCAACAAGTATCATGATCATTTCCAAACATTGCACAACAACAGCACGACTTGATCTTACTCTCAACAATCCAAATAGGGCCGGAAATACCGCCATGCTTGTCCTGGTGTAATTCTTGACTGCTGGCAGAAACAAATCTTCTGGCATGTCCGGTAAAACATCATCTTTTACATTGAATTTCGAAGCAAGGCGCATTCCGGTCCATCCCATTCCCTGAATTTTACCATATATTTCAGAATTCACATATGATTTGATATCAATAGACTCGGCATACCTTGCTGCTTTGACTGTACTCTTGTCAACATCGATTTCTTCATCGAGTAGATAAAGCTCATAAAAAATCTTTTTACCACTCGGATCAAGCATAGGTGCAATATTGTGGAATACATTGATCGCATGAAGACAAAGGTTGTTACTACTATTCCCTGCAATTAAATCAGTTTCTTCTTTTCCTGATCTAGTCCCTCTAAATTCTTTTCCTGTGTAAAAGTTACGAAAGTAAAGTGATCCCGTGAGCACTCTCATCATTCCAAATGAGTGCATAATAAATCTGACATTTCCTTGTACTGAAAGAGAAAGAATGAAAATGATGATTTAGATATGGAAGACCATGTATTGAAAAAGTACTTTCAATATTTCATCACGTACCATAGGATAGGTTGCGAACAATCATGAGAATGATTTCCAATATTCTCATACCCTCTCGATCATTATCGACATTAACCATATTATAGGATGGAATATGACTAGCATTCATTCCTGTATTTAGAGAAGAAGGTGCAAATCTGGTCAAACAAAATGAGGTCCATTCTAAATCATCAATCGCGCCATCGGCTGATGTACAAGGCTTTGCAGTGTAGTTCCATGTATTGTCTGTCGGAATGATACCATCTTCATCTTCCCGAATTATCCAATTTTTGTTGCCGTGTTTCCAGCCAATAGTTTCGTCAAAAAGGGAGACGAGACCATCAATGACTTTGTGTCCTTCTCTCCCAAGCGCGAAATTAAGATCATGATCGGCACTTTTTTCAAGTAGATAGTTCAGTGCAGAGACGATGTCATTCGGATTCTCTGAAGAAAGCAGTTTTGCTAGTTCTATAGATGTGAAATCTTTTGGTTTTTCTGGTTCTCTTGGTCTTTTGTTGGACGGAGTAGTGCCATGTGTAGTATCTAATGGTGTAGGAGGTAGCTGAGCTGCCAATGGTGAAAAAAGCAAATCAGATCCTGGAATCACAGGAAATGAATCATCAACAGAAAAGAAGTTATTCGACATGCTACTTAGTGGGGATGTAAGTATGTAGGTGACAACTAAGTTTGTTTATATATGGCTTTTATGTATGGTAATGTAATGTTTTGTTGTGCTGCTGCTCCGCTGCAACAATAGACAATATTTGAACATAAATAACGGCAATTACCGGTCTTCAAAATTTAATCACTTTTCGAATCTTTCGACAAAAGAATACTTGCAGTTGAGAGAACTCCCAAAAATGGAAATACAATTACCTTCTTCCAGTCTAACTTTAGCTTCGCTACTTCCTTGTCAAAAAATGTATGCTTGATGTCAAAGAATGTACCGACAATGGAAGCATACGCGAAGCTTGTCAATGGAGTAACTCCGAGAGAGATTGAAATTGCAAGTGTACCAAGAGTGAGGAGCCCCTCACTCATGAAATGCATTAGTGCAGGTGTTAAGTCATCGGTGTTCTTTAACTGCCACATACTAGCTCCGTCTGGAAAGAGGCAGGAAATACCACACACTATAGCAAAGGCAGAACTTACGGTAGAAAATGTATGACAAGAAGGCATCTCATTGAGCCCTGCAAAAACAACAGGCACATGAATACTCATAATAGCAAGGTCACCGGCTTTAGATGGACCAATTTCTTCAGAGTCATTATTTAAAAGTGAGGCTAGAGTGTCGCCCATCCAAAGAAGACTATTCAAGATTGCTGTGATCTTGAAGTCCCATTCTTTAAAAATAGTACCATATGTAATGATTCCAAAGTTAATCATGGTTAGCCCAAATCGGCGTATCACCTTTTCGTTTACTGGACTCATTTGAATGTCTTTTTCCTCACTGCGCCAGGTATCCAAGGATTCACTTGGAGCTAAAAAGTTTGCCACTCCTTCAAAGAAACACATTGTACCGAGAATCTTTGCGGTAGTTTTTGGCGCGATCATTGACGTCACTCCCCCTCTTGGAACAATAGGTGCTAGAGCTGTTTTTTTCAATGGTAGGTAGCCAATGGCAACACCATCTTGAATCCCAAGGCAGAGTGTTACTAGAGCTAAGAAGGAAAAGTATTTCATATTGGAGGAGTATCAGAGGACTTCAAAAATATATCTAGTTTTGATAGTTGTGGTAGTGAATGGAAGAAATGAGAAATTACGAACACTTGGTGTTCTCGTTTCCTTGACACCACCTGTTTAGTGTTCGCATCCATCAACTTTCGTCCAATTTTTTCTAGTCTTAACTCAGTTGATATCAAATGGATGAATTGAATCAAATCACCTCCTATTCTGAGCGGGCTATTCCCATATAAAAGCAGCATCCAATGCACAAAGAATTTTAGTTGCGCAGAGAACAAGTAGATTACTTTTACTACTTGAAAAAAGACTCCCTTGTCGAAACGAAGTCAAAGTAAAAAAGAAGAAGGATCAAGTCGTTGGATCTACAAATGAAAATGATCAAGAGGTGAGTATTCATCTTCTGGCTATAAGAAGCAGGAGGTAGGGGAGATGAAAGATTCATTGAAAAGATTTTTTATCTGAAAGGTATGTTTAGCAATGACGCTCGGCTGCAATAAAATGGAAAAGAATTTGCACTTCACCTCATCGAACCCATGACTGATCAGTCGTTGCATCAATAAAAGAAAATGATCAAGTGGTGAGTATTCATCTTCTGGCTACAAGAAATAGGAGGCAGGGGAGATGAAAGATTCATTGAAAAGAATTTATCTGAAGGTAGGTTTACACAAAAAGGAAAAGAAAAAAAGTTTTGCACCTTACGGGAATCGAACCCATGGCAAATGCTGACGTCACTGATCGTCGTGAAGACGATGTCATTGGAAGGCATTTATGTTACCACTACACCAAAGGTGCTTGTTGATGCAAGTGTGGTCATTTGCAAATATAATCTATTTACTTGTACATGTAGGCTTCTCATTTTTACTTCTCTTTGCAGAAAACAGAATCCTAAAATCACATCAAAATAATCTTTGAAGATCACAACTATCCAAATCACAAATAGGTCGGAGGTATTCTCATTCCAAAAGTAATTCAAATATCTTTCCATATCTAAGAAAATACGCACGCCCAAGAAATGATTTCAATTGTAGACAAAATTTCGCTGTTGCTTCTTCTTCTTCCAATGACAAGTGAAGGGTTTGCAGTGCAATGGCAATCATCAAAGAGTAAATCATCAATCCCAGTCGTGTCATATCCATCTGAAACTAAGAATGATGATCTTCCCACCACAACTAGTAGTACTATTAGAACATTAGATGCAGCGTCAAGTGCATTTGGAGTAAAACCTGCTACTGATGAATTCAATACCTCAACCTTTCCGTTTCATATGATTGTTGGAAATCAAGAATTAAAAAAAGCAGCAGTTATAGCTGCGGCAAATCCTAATGTGCGTGGTTTGCTGATTGGAGGACGACATGGTACATGCAAATCAGTAGCAGCTAGAGCGGTCCATAATTTACTTCCAAACTCTATTGAACGAATCCAAAGTAGTCGATACAATATTGATCCTTTGGGAGAAGATGGTATTGACTCTTTGCTCCTTGAAAAACTAAAGTCAAATGAAGAAAAGCTTGAAAGTATGAAAACTGAAGAAATCAATTTACCATTTGTACAGGTACCCCTCAATGTGATGGAAGATAGTCTTTGCGGAAGTATTGATATCGAAAAATCTATTGAAAGTGGAGAAACTGTATTTGCGCCTGGTCTATTGGCAAAAGCTCATAGAGGAGTATTATATATAGATGACATACATCTATTGGATGAAAGTATCTTGAACATTTTGTTTGATGTAATTTCAGACGGATGGGTAAAGGTAGAGAAAGAAGGTATAAGGTGAGGACTTTATAAATTATCAAACTATTTCATATGAAAGCTCCTAAATCAACTCATTTCCACCACTCCTATAAGTGTCAAGTATCCGTGTAAGCCATTGGTGATTGCAACATGGAATCCTGATGAAGGGGAGATGACTGAACATTTCACTGACCGCATGACATTGTCAATGTTTACCGACAATACTCCATTGTCTGTCATGGATCGAGTAGAGGCCACTAACAATGTTATTGGGTTAGCAGGCGATGCTGAGTCTAGAGAGAGGGATGAATTTCAACTAAAGGAGGCTTTTGCGAGGCATGAAGACGAAAAGTTGAAATTTTCGGTCGTTGCAGCTCGGAATTTAGTAAAAGAGGTCAAAATCAGCCCAGAACAAATTCTCTATCTGTGTGAGGAGGCAACAAGAGCAGGATGTCAAGGTCAGCGTGCTGAAATATTTGCCACCCATGCAGCGAAAACTTGTGCCGCTCTTGAAGGTAGAATGTTTGTGAATGCAGAGGATCTAAAAACTGCTGTAGAGTTTGTAATCTTCCCAAGATCAAAATATTACATCACTTATGGAGATGTAGACAAAGAGAGTGGAGACAACTGCATTTCAGATGACGAAAAAGACAAAATGCAAGAGAATACTGCTCTTGAATCGTTGCCTCCTCATGACAAGTATCAACACAATTGGCCGGAAGAGACACATGACGAAGAACCTATGGAGAAAGATGAATTTGAAGAGGATGCATCAAAGATGGAACAAAAAGACAATGAAGAAATTCCTGATAACGAAGAGGTGGATGATGAAGTTGGGAGATTGGAAATTCCAGAAGAATTCATGTTTAGTCCCAATTTGATTCCAATTGATCCTCACTTGCTGAATATAGTGAATAGATCAAAGAAAGGCAAAGGAAGAAAGGGCTCTAAAGTTTTTAACTTCGAAAGAGGCAGATTTGTAAAATCGGTTTTTCCACCACCCACTCGTCGAGGTAAAATTGCTGTGGGTGCAACTTTGCGAGCAGCAGCTCCATATCAAAAACTTCGAATCCAAAGAGCCAAAACCAAGAATTCGAGAATAAAGGCAGTTTATGTCGAGAAAGAAGACTTTCGTGTGAAAAAAATGAGCAAAAAGTCTGGCTCCCTGATCATCTTCGTTGTAGATTCAAGTGGGTCTATGGCTCTCAACAGAATGGATAGTGCAAAAGGTGCAGCTATAACTTTACTATCAGAAGCTTATAAAGCGAGAGATAAAATCGCCCTTATTGAATTTCATCAGAAATCTGCCAATGTTTTGGTACCTCCAACAAAGTCGACATCTTTAACGAAGAAAAGACTGGAGTCTATGCCGTAAGTAGAAAAAGCACATTCAATACACATCATCATCAAACCATGATATCTCATTCTTTTTGGCATCAGCTGTGGCGGAGGTAGCCCACTAGCAGACGCTCTGTTGAGCGCAGTGAAGATGGCATTAAATGAACTAAAGGTAAAAAAAGATGTTGGGTCTTGTGTAATTGTTTTGATTACCGATGGTAGAGTTAATGTACCATTGTGTATTTCAAGAGGTGAGAAATTTGACGCGGAACACTTGCCCTCGATAGATGGAAGACCTACAAAAGAGTATTTGCAAGATGAAGTGCTGTATTGTGCTCAAATGCTTCCAAAATTAGGCTTAGACTTGGTTGTGATCGACTCGGAGGATAAATTTGTAGGAACTGGTATTGCTAGACTCATTAGTACAAAGGCTCAAGGAACATACATTCATATTGATCCCCAAGATGTGCGAGCAGACAATATCGCAAATATCGTTACGCAGCATAAATAAGTGACCTTCTATTTTATTACCTTTATCAATCTTGGTAGTTATTGTTACAAAAATATATAAACTCCTTCGTAGATTATTTATTTATATATTTGTACACTCATTTCCATGAGACTACATGAGAAGTTACACTAATCTGTACATTGACTGTTAGTTGCTTTCGAAATATTCTTCCTTGTCTAACCAAAAATTTGGCTGATCCCTCATCAACTCCACCAAAACGCAGCCTCCACTAAATACACAGTTTTTCCGAGACTTAGATCCTTCGACCCTAACTTCAGCCCCTCGTTTCGAGTTTTCATCACGGAGAATTTCTGATTTGTATCTTCTTCGAACATCCCCTTCGATTCTCTCACGCATACCTGGGAATAAGGATCCACCACTATGAACCTAAGAGTGTTAGATACAATCCAATCTTGCCAATGAAGGTAATTATTTGAAACTGGAAATACTCACTACAGCACTATGTTTTTGTACATTTCTCGTCGAATATTTATATCGCAAATCTGAATACTATCAAATATTACATCAGAAAGACTGATTTCATCAATGTCGCAAAGTGATGGAGTAAAATAAACCTCAACACATTCAAAGCGCTCGCTTTCGATTTGAATACTTTCTCCAGTACGCAGCTTGACTGTCTTCAAGAGTGAACACGTCTCTTTCACTAGCTTCCGATCCTCTTCAATTGATTTTGCACAGTAACATAGATTTTCTTTGATTTCATCAATCACTGCTTTCCCTAATAAGCTTGAAGAATTTGACCTGATCTGAAGTAATTGCAAAAGATAATCAGAAATAGTTCCACCAATGATACTTAGCCTCTTGACTTTGCCTTGATCTACAAATCCTTCCAGAACTGGAACGACGGAAGTAATGCCATGCCCGCATTGTACAACGATTCCACTTGTGGTTCCTCTACTATAAAGTACCAATGGGGCTTGGAGTGAAACATGAACGCGTTTAAAACCAAAATGGAAAAAGAATTTCATCAAGTTATTCTTATACTCATCAGAACAAAAGAGAGGGTATGTAACCAAAATGCAATCCAGATCAAAATCTCCAAGACTTTTCACGGCTTTCTCTACAAGCGGAACGAGTTTCTCCCAGTCTTTAACAATTCCATTTTCAATTGGTTCGAAAGTCTGTCCATATTCTATAACAGTACTTGGTATCACTTTTGGATCACAATCATGAGAAAAACCCACTTTTAGAAAAGAAGATCCGATATCAAAGACAACTGTGTTATCTTGACTGGACATTACTCGCCAGAAGAAAGAGTTGATTTGTAACAACTACTTTGCTTGGTGGACACATACATTCATGTCTACGAGTTTGGAATCACACGATTTCTCACAGGATTGTAGGCATGGAGTCTCTCACTTGACATTTTCCATTTCTTCGTGTCAATGGTATTGTACTTGAAAGGTATCATGAAGTTCTGAGAGCAGTCATCGTCTAGTGACAATCTTCAAGGTGGACCTTAAGCTCTCGCTGAGGTACTTGAAAGAAAAGAAAAAGAAGCGAATTAATTTAATTGTCCTGGGATTCATGTATTAGGTTGGATTGGAATAGTCTATCCTTTCGTTGTTGTGTACAATTATGAATATTGGGCATTTCCTGCATTATTACAATGATCGATACTTAGCTGCATAGATGAATGTTTGGGTTTAGAAAAATGTAGAACATCTGTGTTCTCCTCGAAAATTCCCGTAAAATTCTTACAAGAAAAAGGAGTGTCGCAGAGAATCTTGCTCATACCGATGGAGTGTTTGCATTAGATATATTGAATTCTGCTAACGGATAAGATACAAGAAAGGTGTATTTATTACGTATTACGTACCATTTTTAAGTTGACAAGCAAGCAACAGCTTTCCAAACCTCCAAACCTATCGAAGTCTTCGCGATGATTTGGTCTGGTAATAACTTTTTAGAACAAACAATTTGCGAATCTACACTGGACCAAGAGAGTCTCTTCATCTTGAGAAACTCTCCAACCTCAAGTCAAGTTACCTCTCACCCCCAGTCCTGAGTTGAAGGTTCACTTGAAGTACTGTTTGAACTCACAAGGTTGTAAAGTGTGGCATTTGTTGGAGATGATTCATACTTTGAACTGTTGATATGTTTTCTGCTGATAGATGTATTTCTATAAAGTACATGGACAGAACTGGATCAAGGGACCCTCATGAGACAAAAACTCGAAGCATCTTTAGAA